ACACACACACATTATATATATATATATATATATATATATATATATATATATATATATATATATACACTTTAAAAACATGCCGTATAATTAGAAACAAAATTAAATCAGTTCTAAAATTAATAAAACTGAAAATTGAAATAACTGAAATAAATATATAAACTGAAACTAAAAAAACTGAAATGCTAAAACTATTTAGAAATGCTTAAAAAAAGAAAAAAAGATAAGCACACACCAAAAAAAAAAAAAAATTTAAAAATATTAATAAATACTATAATAATATATAAATATGTTTTTTTCAGTTAGGATGCTGCCTATGTAGACAGTAGACAGCAAAGCAGCACATTAGTTTCAGAAACAGCGCTTATAATATTAATTTAAAAAAATAAAAGTATATCTGCATTCTCAAAAACACTCCTTGGCTGTGATTGGCTGGTCTTTCCTGTCAATCACACAGACTCACCTTCGATTGGTCTCTGCATTCTTTTTAGCAGCCATGACTTCATCTCGGCCTCACTGGCCCGTCTGCGTAGCTCCGCTTCAGAAAGCTGTGCGTCCGAGTTTGGTCCCTTATTATCCTCAACATTTGGTCCAGGCGAACTACATTTCCCAGAGTCATCTAGGGTCGTCTTCCCTTTTTGGTCGCTTGCGGTCGCCTCGACTGCCGAGACTCCATTTACTAACATTTCACCCCTTTTTTTGGTCACCTCGTCCACTTCTATGACAGCTTCCTTCCCATCATGCACCAGTGCCGTGGGTTCGTCCAGCCTGTCGGGAAGCTCTGTGGAACGGTTGTGAAGGCCTTCATCTTCGTCTTCCTCAGCCACGGATTGGTCTGTTGGCGTCTTTCTTTGCTCCTGTAGTGGCGCCCCCTCTTGGCCAGAGCAGGTGGTGTTAGAGTCGCTCTGCAGCAGCTCCAGTTCGGTGAAACCTTCGTCCGACGGCGATTTGTCAGCGATCTGGCACTCTGATATCTCAGAGATGGCCGTTTCGATATCGTCTAACACGATTGGCTGGTTGGGCGCGCCGAGAGCCTCGTAACGACTAAAGGGGTTCAGATCTCGTTCGGAGGGAAGCTCCTCCCACTCGCCTGGCCTGTATAACGGACAGAGATCCTGGGGTTCATCACTACAACGGATAACAGCGGCCATCATCATCATCATGAGGGTGGAGATGGTGAAATTAAAGAGAAAAACAAACAAAACATCCAAAATGAACAAACTCAAGACTCAACTGAACATGACAAATAAATATGACAAAACGTAAGGGATAAAAAAAAGAGGTGTTTGGTGTCAAAGCTGAACAGAAATGGAATGAATGAGAGAAAGTGAAAGAGGTGGAGTATTTCAGCTGATTTGCATCCCTCAGTTTGTGGGAATAAACTAAAAATGCATTTACAGTAATAGATTGACAATGGTAGTCTATGGGGGGCAAATGTGCAGCAAGCTTGAAATATGCAACTATCACGCTGATTACATAAACATAAACTTTACACATAACATTTAAATTGTTCACTTTGCCACTAAGCCTTTTCTGTAAATGTGTGGTTAAAGTAAACATAAATAATTACTTTAATTAACACACAAGGTAAAATAAAAAAAGTTATATAAATAATAAATACATTTTATAAAATAAATAAGGAAAATAAATTAAATTACATTACATTTACATAAATAAATTTAATAAAATAAAATAGTTAAATAGTTAAGTTAAATCAAATTAAATAAATTAAATTACATTTAAATAAATTAATATATGTAATAAAATAAATGCATTAAAATAAAATAAATGAAAACCAAAATAAATAAAGTGTATTACATTTAAAATGAATGAATAAATAAATAATAAAATAAATAAATACAATTTTAAAAAAACAACAATAAAAAAATTAATTAGTTAAAAATTAATTAAATGAAAATAAATTAAATACTAAATTAAAATAAATAAATTTCATTTAATCAAACAAAACAACTGGATTGTTATTGGTCATTCACAGTATTAAAATATGAAATACTAAATCAATTTAAAATACTAAACTAATTTAATTTCAACCATGGACCCGCAAATATTTACTGGACCAAAACTGAGACCACAGAACTGTGATACAAACTGAACCATGAGAAATTAGAACAGCTAAACCCCTCAAGATCAAAAAAACAAAGGATCTGGCTGCTCATAGATTACATAATAAAAGTCAAATTGGTATATAATTAGGTAATCGTGATTACCGTGAAACCTAACCAATGTATAGTTGACATTTAAAGGCTAAATGCTGTAGAAAAGCAAGTTTTTCTGGAAGAGTGTTTTCAGCTTGTTAACGTTCATATGAAAATATGGCATGCAGTAGCTTCAAACAATGGTATAAAGCTATTCAAAACATCATTCAATGTAAATCGTGATAATAATCGCAATTACAATTTCAAGGGAATAATCGACAATTATGATTTTTGTTGTAATTGTGCAGCCCTTTACGTAATCAAATCTTAATGGTGCTAAAACTAAATTTTGTCGCCATTCCAAAACAAAATTAATGCACATTAATAAAATCTAAAAGGGGGTTTTCTAAGACAACAAAAGAATGTAAGAGATTTTAAAGACGGAGAGAGAGAGGAGTGCTGCTTACGACGGCAGCGCGTCCTTGAGCTTCATACGGGACACGTCGTCATACAGCGCCACAGACAGCACCTCCTCCATGGGACAGATGAGACCGTACTCCTCACAGCCGTTCTCGATCACCAGCGGGTCAGATTTGTGCGGGTCAAACATGATGTTGTTGGGCGTTATAATCATCACTCCTCCCACAACTCCCTGCAGGACAAAAATAAAACAGAAGCCTCATTTAAAGGGATAGTTCACCCAAAAATTAAAGTTCTGTCATTAATTACTCTAAACCCGTGAGATCTTCAGAACACAAGTTAAGATATTTTTGATACTCTGACTCTCCCATAGACAGCAATGTAATCACCACGATCAAGGTGCAGAAACGTAGCACGGAGATCGTTAAAATAATCCATGTGACATCATCAGGGAAGGGATAGTTCACCCAAAAATTAAAGTTCTGTCATTAATTACTCTAAACCCGTGAGATCTTCAGAACACAAGTTAAGATATTTTTGATACTCTGACTCTCCCATAGACAGCAATGTAATCACCACGATCAAGGTGCAGAAACGTAGCACGGAGATCGTTAAAATAATCCATGTGACATCATCAGGGGTTCAAGCGTAAGCTTACGAAGCTACGAGAATACTTTTTGTACGCGAAGAAAACAAAAATAACGACTTTATTCAACAATTCGTCTGCTCCGCGTCACACTGTAGCGCCATTTTGGAGAGTATCCTCTGAATGCAAACAGCGTATGCTATTCTGTGTCAGCTGCGTCACGCGGATACATTGTTTTCGTTCAATTTAAAATGTAAACAACGTAGAAAACTTATGACGCAGCTGACACAGAATAGCATACGCTGTTTGCATTCAGAGGATATTCTCCTAAATGGCGCTACAGTGTGACGCGGAGCAGACGAATTGTTGAATAAAGTCGTTATTTTAGTTTTCTTTGATATTGAGATCTCTTTAATACTTCTTGAGTTACAGGCACACAAACTTTGGAAAAAGAGTATTCTGTCACTCAGACAGGTATGGTCTATGAAATTGTCTTGATAGAGAGAAACGAGATACTTTTCTAGTTTTAACATTATTTGTTCTTCAGACATTCCTCTTTAAAAGAACAAAGTATCAGCAGAATGCAAAGTGACCCACATTTGGTTTTTGACCATGGAATGTGTTTACAATTTAACAATTTACTCCTGGAGCCCTATTGAGTTCCCAATATCTCTGGAACTGAACCATATAGGGCCTTAAAAATATACATGCCAAAAGAAATGTTGGTTAAGAACCCAAATCTAAAAGAGCATTAAGATACCTTTAATACTTCTTGAGTTACAGGCATGCAAACTTTGGGGAAAAAACTTGAAAAGTGCTTTTCCCCCACTTTTGAACGGTCACCGTTGGCATATAATGCAACAAAGATTGCTAAAGTCAACAGATTTTACTAATAGACCCTTTGCTTGGTTTCTCTACATAATCCATTCACAACTTGAATAAAATTTTGTTTGTCTAATAAGAGGACCAAACGTCCACGTATACGGTTTCAGAAATGATAAACGCGAGTGTATAAAATTACGCGAGTCAATCCGTGAAAACATCTGACAAGCCGATGTCAAAAACAGAGCGTGCATTAAGTGATTCAGACTACATTCAAAGAAACAAAAATCTGCAGAAGCAACAAGTCTGTGTTGGCTGAATAGATTTAGCAGCTTCTACAGTTAAAACATAAATTCACTGATTATTGTTCAGTAAAGTAAAAGCATTTGTTATAATCAGGGGTGCACATAAGCGGTACGCAGGTGCGCATGCATGACCAAATTAAAAACTGCTCATTTGCGAAGCGACATTGTTGACAGCTGTTAATGCACAATCACTGTTTTAGATCGACTAATTGTGATACTGTATAAGATTTTCAGTCAAATCAAAAGCATAAATCCAGGCAATGGCCTGCCAGTTTCACAGCAAAATGCAAAATGGACATTTCATTCACTGACGCCCTTCACTCGGCAGCGCATATACTTACTTGCTGATTTTAGGTTTGAAAATTATGAAAATTCATGAAAAAAAAAGAAATAAAAAAATATATGATTAACATTGTATTTTTAAGTGTACTATAAAATAACTATTTTTATTTAATACTCAATTTATTTTAACATATAATAGTATTATCACACTGATTTTATTTATTTTATTAAAATACAAAATAAATAAATGCAATAATACTATTAATAATCATTATTTTATTTTTATAGCTATATTTAATGAGTCACACTGTGCAGTGAGTATCAAACCAAATCTCCAGGTGCTCTAATGAGAACCAAACCGAAAAACTTATATGCACCCTTGGTTTTAATAGTCATTTTATAATAAATCCCAAAAAATAGGGAGTTGAAATGGCAACTGAGCTAATGAGTGATGCTCTGCTGCCATCTACAGGTTATAATGCTAATTTCATGCCATTTTCAACTTAAAAGTCTTTGTTTTCCACCAGGATATATTTTTTCATGCCATCTTCATGAATGAAACGTGAATCTTTAAAGTGCCTTAAATGTAAGGTATTACATGTCTGGGAACTCTCCTGGGATAACAAGCTCGGCATATACAATTATATGTTGTTAAAGGGGTCATCGGATGCCTATTTCCCACAAGTTGATATGATTCTTTAGGGTCTTAATGAAAAGTCTGTAACATAGTTTGGTTAAAATTTCTCAATGGTAGTGTAAAAAACAGCTTTTTTACCCGGTCAAAAACAGCTCTTTTCAGAGCAAGCCGTTTTGTAGCATTTTCCTTTAAATGTTAATGAGCTCTGCTGGCTCCGCCCCTCTCTTCCGAGC